GTCACGAATATGATGTGGACACCCGCAAAGAACAACCAATAGGGAAGAGGAGGCACGGCAGCCAATCAAGAGAAAGGAGGATGGACCAGTAAGAGGTGGATCATCCGGGACATAAAGGAATTATGAGCGATTCCCAGGAATCATGTTACAACCTGCACCGGGAATGGATACAGACTGCAAGGCAGTACGCCAGAGGTGAATATGACAGGATAATCGAAGGTTGTGACAAGCGTCTCAGACAAGGGGTTCACTGTCAACAACAGGTCGTTCTAACAAAGAGCTACTGAGAGTAGATTATAGACAAATGAACTTAATTGCTTACGTGAGGAATCAGATTCCTCGACACGGAGAGCGCTGGGCGCTCCCTCCTATTTATGTGCAGCTATCTACATATGTTTCTGAAGTATCTTTGTACCTTGCTCAGTGTGCTCAGTGGTCTTGGCGGCTGAGCAGACTGAGCAATCTTTCATGATCGATGTGCTCAGTGTGCTCAGTGGTCTTGGCCACTGATCAGACTGAGCACCTCCTGATTGGTCACATGGGGACTTTGTGGGTCTTCCCATCCCTGGCCCAATGATTGGCTGAGGTGTCCCAGCACCTCGGGAACCACCCAGTGGTTCCTTCACGGGGTTATTATGCTTGGGGCGTAACAAATCACTCATGATCCTTAGGAGTCGGTTATGATCCGGGGAGAAACAGAATGATCTAGGCTTGGCATTAGGTCTATATATATAGAGGAACTAGATAGCTTACAGATAGTTCCGCAGTATGCAATTCACAATTGTATTCACGGTATCTTGTGTTTTACATTAAAACATCTTGTTGTGCACTGTTTAGCTGCACCGAACTAATTGTCAGAAGTTACCTTCAACCCGTATCCCTTTCAGAGGTTCTGTACAGGGGTTCGTCACAAACCTCCGTAAACTTCCGGTAAAGAAGATTTATAAATACTATATAACTATCTGCTTTAACTATATTATTAACTACACTATCAACTACATTATCGACTGTATTATTAACCATCTATCTAACTCTATATCTATTACTATAACCATTGCTCTAGATTTTCCTTAGATAATTAATAGTATAAATTTTATACTTAAATATACAAAAGTATTTTTTGTTAATTATGTTAATACTGTTACCTACATATAAAAATAAAACTGGAAAGTTAGTTAATTCGCAACTTTGATTAACAGCTTGAATTAAGAGCTTTAATTAACAGCTTTAATTAACAGCTCCAATCAATAGTTCTCATTAAAAGAGCTTTAATTGTAAAAGTAGAAATAGCAATATAGTTAGCGATATAGTTAGTAAACGCCATATATAACCCTAATCCCTGTAGGGGGTAATGCGCGGGGATAAAATCTCTTAAATAAGCAATTAAGCTAGCTTACCTATCTTTATTTAGCCTGAAGTGAAGACGAAATCCAGAATCGGCTGTTCTACTGTCACACTATGTTACACCACATGGGAGGCAATCCGTGACTTGCGTTTCGCATTCATGAGTATAACACCCTGCATCATTGCAGATCCAGTGCACCCCCAACTGACGCTCTTCAAACCATCCTCCCCAGTTGAAGCCACTACGGTAACGAAGTCCCACTTCATGAATACAAGCGACGAACCAGACCATCCTACGGCACTTTTTAGTATCTTTATCAACCTCTTTGGTCTTGGGAACGAAGATCTATTCCACAATGACCGCAAAAGACCAATCCTTGCTTACTCGATTCGGGGTTTGCAGACATCGTCCTTCATGCTTAGCGATGAGCTCAAGCTCAAAGTCATACCTGAGACTGAACGCGTGTCGCAATTTTTGAAGGCGAGCAAGAACCAAGCATCTGTGTTCATGGTAACGGGTATCAAGTCGATTCGCGGTGCCAGTGTCAAAACCGAATCCAACAAAGGGCGGGGTTGGGTTGTTGAGCTGAGTGTTGGGCTTGAGACTGGAGACAGCGAATGAAGGCCACGATATCCGCATTTGAGCTGACGCGACTCAAGCTCTCTGACTCAGGCGACCTCATGGCCGTTGCGGCCGACTTGGAAACTCTTGATAAACTACAGAGCAGACTGGACAAGGAGTTTGGAGAGGCCACATTCACAGTCTTCCGCACAATCGATATAAACCAGAGAGTCTTGTCAAGCCGTCGCACCGAGCCCGGCTTTTGTCGATTTGTTGACAGCTGGTTCGGAAAGAATAGACCGCGTCTCTTCTGCGTAACTAGTTCTGAAGTCTCTCAATTTCATTTAGTCACCACTCTATATACACACATCCGTCTTATTCAACAGGCTCTTCGCGCTTATTGTCACCCACTATGCTTCGTCATGGTTGACGTGAACTCTAGCTTGTTGTCCCTACATGTATCTTTGCTGCCAGGCTTGGCTCATAGCCTGGAACTGCTCATTCATGTGTTGCTTGTAGCACGGAATAGCAGGTCCTCTAGGATCTATCATTCCGAGCTACAGCAGCGGTATTTTGCCCTTTCATACCCCGAAGACACGGTCCGGGTGGCAATATCTAGCTAGAATATATGACTGGTATATCTCTTCTGACCCTTGTTGGCCTCACATTTGTTGGAGGGCCAACACCGTCACATGCTTGGAACCAGCCGGGTAATATAGCTTCAACGTAAATGTGGCCAGGAAGCTATGGTAGAGGTGGTTGACTGAAGTCGGTCAAGAAGAATCATTCCGCCTGCGAAAGTTTTCTGGGAGAAGCCGCATCTTCAAGCAAGTCACCAGTCGTGACATTGATGAATGACAAGGTTGGAGGAGGAGCATTGGGCCCGTCGAGCGTTTTTGTCGAGATATAGGCGGTGGTTTATAAACAGCTCCACGTAGTATCGGACTGCGAATGGGAAGAATAGTATGATAATGAAAGTAAATGCTTCGTGGGTGCTGTGTAGGGGACCTGGCTCCCGTTCGAGGGAGTGCAACAGTCTGCTCCACGTGAGGTCGGCCTGGTCGACAGCAAAGGTCATGATAATTGACGGGATGGGAATGGTGGTGGGGGGGGCCGAATTTGTGCAAGGTAAATTTGGGGTATCACCAGGTTGAGTCAACAAGTTGGGTAACTGATGAGGATCTTGACGAAGGCAGCGTTTCTGGATCTTCTTGTACAACATTGTGTTCGGGAAACCCGACGTATTGGGTGGTTATCTTGCGCCACTCCGTCTTGCCGGGTGAGACTGTGCCACCGCCAGCTCGGTCTGCACATAGCCCTACCATCAAGCACCAGCAGGGCAATGAGTTGGTGCCCGAATACCGATTGGATTGCGGGGTTACATTGGAGTTCAATTCAAACCCCAGCCCTTGTGGCCCAGAATCGGCACAGCCTCCAGATCTCATTGAGCCCCCCACCAATGCTGGCCATAAGCGCTTAACTGGAGGTCCCTTGATAACCTGCAACCCATAAAAGAACCGATGAGAATCGGCTTGCCTCGACAAATATAGGTGATCTGGAGCCTTGCACAAGATGAAATTCAATCTCACCCGCGGCATATCTTCAAGAGCACCCGACGGGAGGTAGGTTGTTGAACGGGTACCAGTACTGTGAATGGAGACAAAGACAAGATTGGGCAAATGCATTTTCACTTGTCTACTGCAAGTGATCAATATTCCCTCATTTGTCACTGGTGATGGTGATCGCTGCAGCGTCTTGTGGTCGACATGCGTCTGTTGGGCGCATACCCGGCACGCTTGTGGCACAATAATGACCACTTAGAATAGGCCACCCTAGTCCCATTCTTTCTAGCGTGGCCAGCTGTGCCACTTGGGTGGACGTAGGTGGACCAAAATAACCAGCCCCTAGCCTTTTTTGGTGTACGCATATGTAGGATATCCCATTTCTACTGGAGGTGTGGGCCGCGGGATTGGCAACGAAGGGTGCAAGATGAGTACGTGGGTGTAAGACTTATGAGTGGCACAGCGTGAGACAATGGGCATATCACCAAGTGTCGGGTGTTTAGAAGTGCGAAGCTTCTTCTGGCTTTTCCACCTCACTTCTTCATCTGCTCCTTACCCCCCAGATCCTCCTGGTCGACACTCGCGATCTCTTGCTGATACCCCAAGCGCCAGGTACAATGGTTTCCCAGCAAGAACTAGATGCGATTGTTGACGACCATGCCAGTCTCAAAAAGATCACTCTTAAAGTATATGAGGGCACCTGCAGAGAAAGAGAACATATCAAGCTGACATCTCAACGCAGGTCACAGTGGGCGTCTTCTTTGCCTTGTCCATCCTGTCGGTAGTTGCAAGAGTAGCCATCCGCCTCAAGACGCTGAGGCGATTATCTTTGGATGATTATCTCTTGTTTATGGCAGCCACAGCCCTAACGGTGACAACCGGCCTGCTTCTTCACAGCTGCGACCGCATCTATCTCTCGGCCGCGCTCCAGAAAGACCCTGCACTAGCCTTTCTAATCAGTTCGGAGCTCTTGATGGACCTTCTGAATCATGCAACACAGCAGTTTCACACCTTCCTCATCCTTGCATGGACCGCAATCTTCTTCGTCAAATTCTCCTTCCTCGCCTTCTTCCGGCAATTGATCTGGAAGACAAGGGTCCAACGCTATTACTGGGCCGTAGTAGGGATCACCATCGTCTCGTACCTTTTCTTTGTGGCAGAGCCATTTATTCTGTGTTCCGAATTTGGGATTAAGGCTCGTAAGTTCTTCTCAATACTTCTTACTCCCACCAGTCAACAGCGGTGTTCATTTGTATAGACATCAACTAATCATGAGTAGTTTCCTGTTTTTCCCCTTCAAAAAATATCCTCTACATATCTCTGACCGGCGTCGTGACTGGCCTGGACGCAACCACCGACCTCATGATTGTCAGTATCCCAATCATTATTCTCTACCAAGCAAAGATCCGGACCCGACAAAAGGTGGCCCTTGGGATGTTTCTCTGCCTGTCCTTGGTCATGGTGTGTATTGCCATCACAAGGGCCAGCAAAATTAAAGGAGCACAGGGCATCGATATCCCGTGGGAGTTCTTCTGGCAGTTCATGGAAGCAACTATCGCAGTGCTAATGGGCTCGTTGACTGTTTTCCGCACCTTACTCGCATTCCAAACGAACAAGAATTCAGAAGAGCGGAAAGGAGTGGCAGGCCCGAGCCCTAAATCGCGAGCTTTGTTTTCCTTCCACGAACGCATGAGGCGATGGCGGGAAAAAAGGGCACAGCATAGTGACGAGGAGTCTCTCAGCGACCTCCCCCAGATCCCAAGTGCTACTATGTCGGGAATGCGTACCTTTATACGGCGCAATAACCGTGATGAGGGCCTTGAAACTTCGGCTGGCACCGTGAGAGTCCTCTCGCAGAACGACACACTGGCCGAGAACTTCGATGCCTCTTCGCACCACCGTGTCGCTGTGACACCCAACAAGCAAGATGACCATCGCGTCGACTCTCGACAGGGCAACGGGGTATCGTGGCCTTTGCCAAGCTCTGGATATGTGCTCATATCGACTGAAATCAGACAAGAACGGTTAACCACGGAGAGGGATGAGCTACACTCATCCCATATGACCAGTCTGGCTGGTTCAACAGTCCAAGGGGACTGGGAGAGCACTTATCGCGAAAGCGGTCAGCCTGGATCTGTGTATCGGGATAGCCGCCAGTACGCCTACAACCCGCAGATGTCGCGATAGCCTACGATGAATAACAATGAGGCGACGGTTGGCAACCCCGTTGCGTGGAAGCATGTGGCCCCGATGAGTCCTATTCGACCGAGATCGAGGAGCTAAAGGCGTGGATTCCGAGAGCTTGTAATAAGGATGTGTGGCAAGCTCAGATACTGCCCGGGTGGCCTGCAGTAATAGCTGTAATAGGATGGCGAAGGACGCGGGGGGGCCAAAATACCTACCTCGGTACTTTCTCGCGGATGGCAAGGAGCGGAATTCTCAGGCATTGGCTGGCAGCTATCGACTGTGATAGCGGATGATTTAGCGCGGGATGAGGCACTGGAGTCATGAAAGAAAGCATCATCCCCCGTGATGATCGCCTTCTCGTTCTGAATGAGAACTAGAACGGTCGTGGGGCAGTGACGCCGGGTCATGAACATGACTAATATTGCATTGTGCCAAAGCGTTGATATCAATCTAGATAAACACATACATAGACCGTACATACAAGGTAGACAGCTATTTTACTAATTTATTGCTCAGTATATTTAAATCATGTTCACGCTTACTGCACCAACAAACAGTTTGTGTGCCAAATTATACATGCTCTACATTCGGGTCACACTGCAGTAAAATCGAAGTTGGAGCCGTTGATTGAAAAAAAAAAAAGCAGACCGCCACAACAAACCTACATAACGAGAGTGCTGTTCAGTCAATGTTGCTGTTACATTATCTAAATGAAAGTCCATGACACTTCAGTCTTCCCCACGTCCAAACTACCCACAAGCTCCTTGAAAACCTTTGGGCTGACATCGATCCCACCGGGGGGGCACGAAGGGCACTTGTCACGGACAACGGCAGTGACCTTCTTGCCATCGTGGCCCTTGATGGAAATCCTGCGGCCACAAGCATCGCCGGCACCTTGACCGCTCACCAGTGCCGATGAAATAGCCACGATGTTGTGGGTATAACCCTTGCCACTGTCGTCGTGACCACAGGCACCAGGTCCGACTTCGTAGTACGTCATGTGTCCGTGGCGGTTGTATTCATTTTCGTCTCCATTGCGTTTGGTGGCACACTCCGTGTCCCGGAGCTGGATCTTGAGAGCAGCGGGCACCTCAACTTGCTGCTCGGCATGGGCCATGTCCATGTTGATAGGGCTGGCGAGAGCACCAACAATGAACACGGCCAAGGAAACAGCGGAGGTCCTCATTCTGGTGATTTAGTTTGGAAAGAGTGTATGGGGGCAGTTATTGTAGTGTGTGAGTGGCTGAAGCGGACAGTTTCAAAGTTGTAATGATTGTGTGCGAAGTGATTTGTAGTATGATTTGGAAAGAGTGTGTGGTCTGAACAGCGAAATCTGACTGCGGAGAAGGAGCGTGGTTGGTGGATATTCCCACCATGTTCGGGTTGGCATGATAACTTACTTATATTGCGCAGTTTCGTATCGGAGCCAGATTAAACGGAGGTGCCGCTTGAGTGAACAGAGTCGTTCACGCTTGGCTGAAAGCTACCGGGATCGACGAGGTCACCGCTTGACACGCCGACCGCTTTAGCGTCGTTGAGTCAGTGCCACTCCATCCTGCTGGCACCAGAACAGGAGGCCCGGTCAGTGTACCAGCCTGATTCCGACCCTACCTGACCGTTCCTCATTCCTCGATGACAGTGATGGATCCGGGGATGGTGCTTGAGATGAGAGTCGTGACGGCCTGGTTCATGATTAATCCGGCAGCATTCTTGGAAGTTCCGCGCTGTAGGTGTCATGCCCCTGAATTAGTTGAGCAACAACAAGGACTGAGATAATGGAACATCGGATATTATTACTGTTCCCAACGCCATTTTTGATGCAGCTGTGTGCCAAAACCGACAAAGCTACAGGCGCCGTGAGCCCAAAATGTATAGGATAGATAAGCCTCCAATCAAGACTAGCTAAGAAGCTCCCTGATGTCTTCAATCCTCTGGACCCTCTTTTCCTCGTCTGACACCATTCCAAGGGACGAGGCACTACGAATAAGGGGAACTCATGTCAGCAAACTGATTGCAGGGGCCTTGGAGGTGGCTAGAGACTCACATGAGCTTTTTCCTTTCTTGTATCTTGAGCATCCTCTCCTCCACGCTGCCCTTTACAATGAAGCGGTAAATCTTGACCTCGTCCTCTTGACCCATCCGGTGTACTCTGTCGATAGCTTGCGCCTCGATTGCGAAACTCCACCAAGGGTCCATCATAAACACCCTTTTTGCCATGGTAAGGTTCAGTCCAACCCCGCCTGCCTTAAGACTGAGCAAGAGCACGGTAAATCGTTTGGACTCTTTGAACTCCTCGAGTACAGCGGCCCGGGCCTTTTGGCTCATTGAACCATCCAGTCGCACGAAATGCATGTTGGCTTGGGTGAGAGCTGGTTCGATGAGAGAAAGGAACGACGTGAACTGACTGAAGACGACGGACTTAATTGTAGGGTGTCCCTTCCGCAGCTCACGTAGTTTCTTGATGAGTGTCACAATCTTTGCAGAAGAGTTGTTGACCCCGAGGCGCTGCAGCGTAACACGCGGCCCATCACCAGGCCTTCCATCATCGAGATCATCATCATGACGGACAACCTCGAATAAATCTCGGTTGTTGATAGGCTCACGACACTGGAAACACTTTGGCAACTCGTTCTTGTCTGTTTGATACTGGATATAGTCAAGCAAGCACTTTTTGCAAGCGGAATGCCAACACCCAGTTACGGTTTGGTCAATGATCGGTTCCTCGGCGCAAATGGGACACTCGTTGGACGCCTCGTCTCGGATCTGGTTCAGCACATGGGCGCCGAAAGCGTTGGAGTCGGCGGCATCATCTGTCGTCGCTGTAAAGCGTTCGATGAGGGCCTGGAGATCCATATCGTCTGCCAATCCAGCAGCCGCGTCTGCAGCGGCAGCAGCTTCTTCGTCATCTGCGTTGGCACTGAGATGGCGAACGAGGACAGGGTGACAACAGGATTGTCTAAGACGTAAAATCTGGGCAAAGATGCTGGTAAAAGCCTTCATCACAGTGCCTGCCTCCACATTGGCATTGAATGTGCGCTTGGCCCTGGTGAAGACATACTCGTACACGTCGCGCTCAGCCTTGGAAAGCTCGATGTCGACAATTTCGACGTGTTTCGGCGGAAGTGGAACCAGTGGTAAACCGTCGGGAGTCTTCATGTCCTTCGTCCGCCTCATCACCAAGGGTTCTAAGACCGTCTGGACAACATCCAAGGCCCGCACAAAATCTTTGGATTCAAATGGCACCGTGATGAACGTACGCCAAAAAGAAAAGTTATTCCAGGGCTCCACCCGCAGAAACCGGACGAGGCTGAATAGGTCCTCTAGCTTGTTCACAATCGGGGTGCCTGTCAGCGCCCATCTGTGCTCCGCCGTAATTTCATAACAAGCCCTTGAAGTCTTGGCCTGTCGATTCTTGATATTGTGTGCCTCGTCCAAGATAACCCGGAAGAAGTTGAGTGAAAAGAGACCACGAGTGGTCGCCCTGTCACCACCTTTTGATGCAATCTGAGTGAATTCCGACAACACCACACCATAGCTGGTGATGATTAGATCCGGAGCATTTTCGGCGTTGGCTTCAGAGCATAAGGTCAAGAGATCAGCATTTTTCTCGGCTCCATAGTAGACCATGGACTTCAGGGTGCCCTCCTTTGAAGCCTTCTCGGCTTCACTTTGCCACTGGGCCAGCAGGGACATTGGCGCGACAACCAGGGTCGTACATGGGGCGTTGGCTGCGATACTTGCGCCATTGATGACGGACAGACGGGGAAGCTTATTAACAAAGCCAACTGGGTGAGGAGGAGACTGCCGTGCTTTCACTGCCACATCGGACCTATGCGAATGAATCAGGCTGAGCATTTGGATCGTTTTTCCCAACCCCATTTCATCAGCCAGAATACCCCCCAGACAGTGCTGTTCTTGACGTGGGAATTCTAAAGATAAATCTCCCGAGTATGGGTTGATATAAAATGCAGGTTGATCGGGGACCTGGGGCAGGTCCTTATCATCGTAGTCCTTCAGAGGCCAGGTGTACTCTTCCCAAAGAGGATGCATAGACTCCTCATGCTCCTTGTTTTGCTGGTCCTTTTCCTTCGCCATCATCCAATACAGAGACTGTTTTTGATAGGGACGAAGAGTCATGGCAAAGGTATCAGCTGGCTCGGCCTCGGGCGTATTGAAGTCGAATGACTGGGCTTTCTTGTAGAGCGCGTCAAGCTGGTCTTGCTCAAGTTCTTGCCCATCTTCGTTCTCGTCAGAGTTCGGAGAAGAGGATGGATTGTCCTGAGACTCTGACCGGGTTGTTGGTTTTTCCTTTTCTTTCTTATCCTCCATTTCGGCCGCCTGAAGTAGTTCTTGACGTCGATGTTTGGCGGCGGCAGAATTGGCTCGGGTTGGGACCAGGTTGATCTCCTGGAAGAGCCTGACGAGAGCTACCTGCCGCAGCCGCAAACTCTTTTCCTCTGTCGACTCGCCTTGATCGAACGGACTGGCATCTCTGTTATCGGCGACTTGGAACCCCCTTCCAAGAAAACAAGACCGCAAGAGCGAACATCTGAGCTGGAGATAAACAGTGTCGTTTGTCCGAAGCCGGTCAGGAGCATATACACATATGCCCTCGAATTTGCATATCTTTTGGTCTATCAAAGTCGAGACCCAATCAGCGGTTTCTTTTGCCAGACGGCCGATCTCTCGACCAGTCCTATCAGAGAAGCGGACAATCACATCGTTCCTCCTCGCAGTAGCGGCCGTGAGCTTGGATTGTACTTTGGTCTTGGGAGGCTGGATCTTATGACGTTCAATCATGACGATATCTCCATGCTTCACAAGACCAGCGCCACTTCGTGTTGCCCAGCCTTCGGCACCAAAGGCGCCGATATAGCGTGATTCAGGCATCGAGTGGAACGTGCCTGGCGCTTGGTGAGGCACCTTCGGACTGGCTCTGTTGCTTTGTGTGGGGGACTTGGGGCCGGGTCGCATCGTGGTAGTTGGCGGGGCCTTCCTTTTCAGGGTCCTCCAGGTGCCGTCAAGATAGAGGTTGATTGCCCGCTCGATATTGTCCCCGCAATGTTCTTTGAGGATGGTGATGATGTCGGGGCTGACGGTCTCGCCAACGAAGCTCTCGAAGGTAGGTTGGTCAAAAGCTATCACGGCGGGATTCATGTCGGAAGTAGCAGCAGTTTTCGGGAAGTCATTTGGTGGTGGGGACGAGAGGTTCGCATATTGAGTCGCATGTTCTTCTTGAGGTTGTGCGCCGGAAAAGAAGCGGCGTCTTTTGCTTGGGGGTTCGTCTGAGTCGGCAAAGTCCATATTGAAAGCAGGTGGGTGTCGCTGAGCAAGAGGATGGTGGCGGTACGTATCCGTGGTCTTTAACGTTGCATGGTTGCATGTGGAAGACGCGCCGAGTCAACGGGACCGCGAATTTTGGCGTTGCTGATCCACAAAATCGGGTGACCGTGTTGCTAGTTAATTTAACGGTCAGGACCCGCTATTTCGTCATTGAAGTTCAAAGACGATTATTCCTAGCGATCCGTTGCAATTGGCGAAAATGGCCATCGCTTTGATCCCCAAGGTACACAGTATGTTTGCTGTTCCTCACCCAAAACGCCGCAACAGAATGGAAAGGGTTTTGACTTTGACTTGCAGGAAGGAGCTACTGCGCTAGGGCACCTCACGAACACTATCTATGTATCGGTCGATTCGAACTGCTGGCCATGGCCTGAAGTGGACGGCCCCCCGATGGGTTCGAGAATGCCGTCGCGGCATTGTCACAGATGCCGATGTGACTCAGTCCCGCGACTACTGTCTAAACCAGCTCAAGTACGTCTCCATCCACCACCTACGAGGCAAATAAGAGGCTGACGCCCCTTTGCAGACATAGCGATTATGAGACCTACATGATACGGCAGTTTGTTCCGCGGTCAGCAAACGATGCATACCATGCGCTCCGGACACTCAATCTCGAGCTTGCTCGGCTTCCCGAAACCGTCTCCAACCCCACCATCGGCCGACTGCGCATCCAGTTCTGGCGTGACACAATCGAGAGGGTCTTTGCTGGAAGCCCGCCTCGAGAACCTATCGCCATCTTGTTGCACAGTGCTATTGCGCAATTGAAATCCAGGGCTGGGGATGGAAGTGCCAGCTCTCTCAAATTCTGGCTGCTGAGGTTTCTCAAAACAAGGGAACGGCACATGGAGAACAGGCCCTTCGTCAGTTTGGCCGCTCTGGAGGACTATTCCGAGAACACCTACGCGACCTTGATGTACATGACGCTGGCTTTCATGCCCATGCGGTCTGTCCACATGGATCACCTCGCCAGCCATATTGGCAAAGCTTGCGGCATTGTCGCGACACTACGGGGAATTCCAGTGCTCGCGGCACCTTCAACGCCCATCCAGGTTCCCTCAGGGGCCAATCTCAGGAGCACCCGAAGCCCGGCGCTTCTGCTTCCCCTGGATGTCATGGCGGATGCGGGCTTGAAAGAGGAAGATGTCTTTCGAATGGGTCCTAACGCTGAGGGACTTCAGGATGCTGTTTTCCACGTCGCCACGCGTGCCAATGATCATCTTATTACAGCCCGGGAGATGCTCAAGAACCTGAGGTTGGGAAAAGGGCCTGATCACGACTATGAACACGAAGGTGAAGCCGAACATGTGTATTCATCTGCTGCACACAACGTCGAGACTGCTGGTTCCGATATCAAGCGTGGGTTTGGTGTGTTGCTGGAGGCTGTTGCAGCCGGGGATTATCTGAAGCGTTTGGAAAACGCCAACTTTGACCCCTTCAAGGTAAAGAAAAGTTGGAAGCTTCCCTGGTCGTTATGGCAGGCGCTTAGGCATGAGCAAATTTGATGATCTGTCACGAGCAGTTGTTTAGATGATGTTAGATATCTCTGTTTGCCTTGAATCCAAATGGTGAACTCAATTGTTCTACATTAGAGCCAAACCAGGGGCGCCGATGTTCATGAAGCATTCGTTTTTTATTTTGGTTTGATGAGTGTTGGACCATCACGGTGTTGTCTCAGGCTCTGGAGAATTCTAGTATTACCAGCCTCATCGTGGTACGCTGGTTTTCGACCCTCTCCCAAGGTGTGATGCTGAGCCGTCGTTCTCGCGCCTTCAATAAGCGGCTGTAGCCGAGACTAGAATCCACCATGATGGGAAACACAGCGAGAGCATCAGAGAATTTTTGCTTGCCAGACTCCACATTCCGCAGTTGAAAGTCAACGGAACCAGGTACATGGTCGAGTCCTTTCGTTCTCGACCCAAGGGATCCAGGGAATCCAGGGACATATCCGTTGACAGGGCGCTAGCTAGCCATGGATCAAGGAAGGAAGTCCCAGAGCGAGGATTGATGCGTATTTACGTCCTCAACATAACAAAGATTGAGCCACACTGCCACTGAATCCTGTTATATCAATTATCTTGCAAGTTGTTGCCTTGCATTTTGCAAAGCCAGTAGGTTAGCCACAGTGCCACTGACCCAGGACTCGCATATGGGATGAAGCTTTTGAAAGCCGAGGATCGTCGAGAGTCTAGGCCACGATGCGCTCTCAATGTTTGCTCGATACTTACTCGATAGTTTTATTTTGGCGAGACCGTCAATGACCCAAGTGTCCGGGGGAAAAACCCCCGGGTCGGCGGGGCCCCGTAGCGGGTGCCACTTCCGAGAGAGTTTCGGCCCGGTGCCCCGCATCCCTTTGGCTGGTAAAAAGGTCCCATTTCGGTGGGGCCACTTTTGAACCAATAGGAGAGCAATCTCTAAGCGAACTATTCTACAACCGCTAAATAAGCGCTAAGAAAAAAGAAATAGTACCTGAAAAGCACTATACTTATAGGGACCCTTAGCGGGTGTGGTGCTATAATTCGCTGTCACTTACATGCTTATTTTGTGGCAGAGCAGCCCCACCGAAATTGGACTTTTTGCCCAGCCAAAGGGATAAAATGTCGGCTCCTTCCGACATCACGGACTCGGCCGTCCTAAAGCCAGTTTGTCCGACCCCAGCGATTTCCGGTGCCTCAAACACATGAATTATGACTGTGTTTTTTCCCCAGTTTTTTCCCTCAAACGTCCCATCGCAGGCCGCCTGAAGCCCTGGTGCCCTGGTGCTCAGAATACAGCCTGATGGCGTTTTGTTGCTGGAGTTGACGAATTGGCCAATGACATCTTTGACAAGGTTTCCGTTTACACACCATCAGTAAACCGCCCGAGTTGGCCTGCAGGTTAAAAGATCGTTTGGCTGGGAGGTTCCTGGAATTACCTAACTGGAACTGCACCTGGTGCATCTGGGCATCAGGTGGCACATGAGGCTCTCACCCAGACTGCTCGATGCAACGCACAACGCCCGACAGAACATGCCATCTCCGAGGAAGTCTGAAGTTGGCAGAGACACGTGGTTTTGGAAGACTTTTGGATGATTTATGTCACGCGGTACTCTGAGGGCCTGTGTTATTTATTTTTACGGATAACCAGTACCGAGCGTAGATACGATATGCGCACTGTCGAATATTTTAGAGATATCTGAGCATCGCGTCATAGGGCTGGATCTTAGCGCAGAAGCAGAAATGGCGGGGAAAATTAATACCATCCAGGCGAGGGGTTCCCGCACAACTCTTGTTTTTCAGTCTCTTTGCACAACAAACGTCAGCTTGCAGGGGAGCAGCGAGAAGTTTGCAGTGGACAAAGGAAAGGGGGACCAATGTTCGACTCGAGCTTGGCTTCTTCGGCCGCTTTCCAAGCACTCGGTGCAAGCTTGGAATATGGGGCAAACAAAGCCAATTCCATGGAACAGAACCTTTGCCGCACACAAAATTTTCCCTCGAGGTGGAGCCCCAGGACTTTGGGAAGAGGTCACTGGGTCACCAGGTGACCCTGGATTTTGCCTTGACAGTGTCTCCAGCGGAGCCCAAAGAGCTTGAAGCTTGAAAGCTGGCATCCAGTTTGTGAGCTCATGCAAGCCTTGTGACTAGTAGGTTGGCTTTCAGCATTAGCCCGTGACCTGAAAAGCGTGCCTCCAGCCCCAGTCCACCACTCACTTGCAAGTTGGAAGAAAGGAACGACGGCAGATCGCAGACCTGGAACATGCGGTTGCCATTGTCCTCATTATTCCCTGGAGAGATGGGGCTCTTCGGTAAGCTCGGAGCACTGACATTTGCTTTCCGGATGTCTCACTCAGCACTGATCTCGGCTTCGGCGAGGACTCGGTATGGATACCGACTGTGGTGCTGACTGGCCCGGGCAGTGGAGTGAACTGACATGCGGGATCGACCAGGTGAAGATCCGCCCTGCACATGGAAGAGGTAGTGTAAGGGGTGCTCCAGATCGATGCTTGGTACGAACCACTGTCTGTCTTTGTGCAAGTATTTTTCCACCCAACCTATGTGAGCCTACGTCACCGTCAAAACTCATCAAGCACTCAGAACCGCCGGGGCACACAGCATCAAAACAAGTGCTACCCTGGCTGCGCAATGATGAGAAGCCTTTCCTGGACTCATGCTGTCAAGACGATGTGGACCGGAAGTGGACTACAAGGTTCACACAACAAAGGGGATCGATCGATGGCGGAGCAACAAGGTCCAGCTGGTCAGTTTTGTTCGCGGCCCTGCCGCTCGCTCGGTCGGTGGTGGGCTGTCCAGGTGGAACCCTTTAAGCCCTGGCCATCTATTACACATAATTACTTGATGGAAAAGGCCGGACTGGTCCTCAAGGACATACAAATACTCTGACGAGCCTGCATCCTACTCTTGCGTCAGACCTCTGAGGAATTGTTGGTAGACTTATAGCCGTGCTCTTTCAAACCATAGACGTTATCCCACCACCCATCTCCACGCTGTTATTCGCATCTTCACACCCTCAGATCCCAACACTGGGTGGCCCCATCTTCACTTTCCAGTCAAAGAAACGAGCCACGGGCACTCGATTAAATACCACGCGTCGAAGGATAATCGAATCGAATCAGAAGAAGGCGAACTACCTCTTGGTGACATTTCATGGATATTGGGGACAGGGAAAACCACCGCAACGAGGATTTTCCACGAAAACCAAGGGCGCCACCTCAACACCTAGCAACTGGACCACTTTCAGCAGTTTTGGCTTTCGCAGGTGACACGGCAGCTCTGACACACACACTGCGGAGCGCTCAAGCTACCTATCCTCCCGTGACACCTTCCCCGCATTCTCTAGGCCTTTCTAGGCCTCAGCAGAAGCGGCGCATCCAGCAGCAGGCCGCCTGCAGCCGGTAGTAGCCCCGTGCCTGCCCCGAGCCCACCCCGCCATTGGCAGGGGCTTCCCTAACTTGGAAATCAATAATAGAACAGCCAACATGCCACACCGGGTAGCCAACTTTTTCCGGTCGTCGACCCATTCCCTGGAGCACCAAGTTTCGAATTTCACCAAAAAGTCATCCTCGGGTTCCCGGAGACGGGCCTCCCCACCCGGCAGCGGAAGAAGTACGGGCTCAGAGCTAGTGGCTTATACATCTGAAGAGGAGCTTGACGATTCCCATGCTCCGCCCTACGTTCCACGCTTGAAGATGGGCGACTCCCGGACCAGCAGTTTTACCTCGGATTCACACAAAGAAAAGGAACATGGGCACCACCACCGGCTCTCGTTCCCCGGCATGCATTTTGGGCGGTCCAACAAGGAGAGCCATGTACACACCCCCGCCTCGCTGGACTGGAAGCTCGAGTCTCCGCCCATCGTCATGTACGGGAATGCCGAGAACAGCACCGGCGCTCTGCTATCCGGGCAGCTCTTTCTCCACATCAAGGATGAGGCCCTGGAGATCGAATCGTTTACAGCGACGCTCACTATCCGGGTATCGCAAAAGAAGCCTTTTGCCAACCACTGTGCCGAGTGCACCAGTCAGTGTACCGAGATCAAAAAGTGGTCTATGCTCGAGCACCCCTTGGTGATGATGAGAGGTAGGTGATGTTTGAGAGGTGGCCTTGCAAATCTCATAAGCTGACACCGTGTCACATTAGGCCAACATTCGTTCCCATTCTCTGTGCTCATGGAGGGCCATTTACCTGCCAGCATGGAAACTCCTCTCGTCTCGATCTCATACGAGTTCAAAGCCGAAGCCATTCCCAGGAGCAACGGTATCACCCCGGTACCGCCCATCAGGCTCGAAAAGGTGCTCGATGTCAAACGCAGTCTCCCAGCATCCGAGATACCACATCACTCCGTCCGAGTGTTCCCCCCCACCAACATCAAGGCCAGTGCGCACTACCCTCACGTCATACACCCGATTGGAAGCTACACTCTGGCACTTCGACTGGATGGAATCTCTAAGCTCAATCCAAGGGTGAACACGATAGAGTACTGGAAACTCAAGAAGCTCACGTGGCGACTGGAGGAAACGATCAAGACGGTAGCACCGGCATGCGGTCGGCACAGTCCCAGATTGGGAGATAGTGAGGAGGGTGCGCAGCCCAAGAAAGGCATCGTTCGTAGCGACACGCGGATCATTGGTGAAAAGACGCTGTTCTCGGGCTGGAAAAGTGACTATACCAGCGCCAATGACGCCAAGGTGGAGCTCGAGCTGGAGTACAGCCTAGGGAAGCACGCCAGGTCTGCCTGTGATACCAAGAGCCAGGATGGGACCGAGGTGAGTCACCAGCTGATGGTGGAGATGGTGGTCTCTCAGGAATGGGCGCCAGTGAACAAGCCCTCTCTGGTCACTCACACCGGGGTTGGACGCATCCTGCGCATGCATTTCGGCACCATTTTGACGGAGCGCGGGGGCATTGGGATCAGCTGGGATAACGAAGCCCCGCCTATTTATCAAGATGTGCCCCCCAGCCCGCCCGCCTATTCTCAAGAAACCAATCTGCACAGCGACGCGTCAATTGCCGAGATGATTGAGCCACTGGATGGCGCTCTGACAGCGGGCCCGGTGCACAGGTTGGTGGTGGAAGAGGAAGGAGGAAGCTCTCGCGGTCATCGGAGGGCAAGTTCTGAAGGGAGGTGAAAAGCCCCTTTCAGCTGGGCCCGGACGTTCCACTGCAGTCAGACTGGTGGGAAACCTCCACCCTATGGTCAACAAGCGTGCATTTTCGAAAAGGGAGACGGCGGGCAATGGGCTTGACAGCGGCGTTTATTTGTTTTGTTTGCATTATACCCCCGGGAACAGCGTCAGCAGCGCGCATGGCAGTTCTATCTACAATCTTGCAATTTGGGCGTTTTTTTCTGTTTGGACTTGTTTCAGGGACTCAAAAAAAGGAAGGAGGAGCGAGGGTGAGAGCAATCGGTCAGTTTGGTGTCTATAGAGCAAGAGTTGTTGCGTTTTCAAAGGGTCTGGCATCTCCTCGGCTGGAGCATTCAAGAAAAGGGCGTTTGGAGGCAAGGAAATTGAAAAAGGGGAAGGGTCTGCATCTGTCATGATTCATGGCCATGATCGAGAGAGTGGGAACAAAGGTATATATATATTGTACATACTCCCACAATGAAAACAACACAAACATAAAAGAGTCTATTGCTCTTCTTTTGCTTTTTTTCCAAAATTGATCTATATTAGAGCTGCCCTGGGAATAGAATCAGGATGATGTCAAAACCATGTAGGTACTTCCAGTTTGCGGGGAGATGGTGGTGGGGAAGTTGGCCTATCGATAAGTCACCTAACCCTTCATGGACGTTTACTCACCTGCCGTTAGCTCAGGTTCGATTGGTGGTGACTCGACGGAGCTTCGACTCAACCGGCGAACCTAGGCCTACATTCCAGCATCTTGGACTCATTGTTTCCCTCTCGACTTACATCCCTCCTCGCGTCTTCTTGCATAAATAGCCAACAGCAGCTGTCTTTGGTACTGCACTGACCCAGCTGGTTCTTTCTTCTCAGTTGGCATCCGGTGGAGCTTGCTTTCTTGTTGGTGTTCCATCCGTTTGCATCGCCTTCATCTAGAAGCTCAAGAGAGTACCCCGCCACAATCATGAACAGCAAATCTGCAAAACAGTTGCCGCACGAGAAGCGGAAAGGAGAAGCAGCCCTCAGCGACTTCGCCGAGTATGTCGAACAGCAACAAGCGCTACGTTTTCCGCTTTCCAGAGCACCCGCGACCAGCAGTGCTGCCCACCATTCTGCCACAGCCAAGAGTGCCCAGGCCGACGCCGACCATGAGCACCATGACGAGCTCGATGACATTCTCGACAGCCTCGACCTTTCTGACCCAGCGCCGCGCGTGAGGTTACGAGAGTTTCTACTGTCTCCGGAAAGCAGCACGGACGCCCTGGAGGGGCTCTCCGAGATCATACAGAAACGGTTACTGGAGGGCCATGGCGAGACCGTGTTTGATGTGGGCGTGGAGGACAATGGCGACAGCATGAAGCTTACACGAGATGAATGGGACACGGCATACAAACGCGTCATCGACGCCGCAAAGAAGCTCGCGGCAGACTGTCAGCTCTTGTTAACCAAGAACGTGGGCGGGGAGCTGGATGGAGCTCCCACCAAAGACAAGGATTGCAGCGGCAAAGTGATGGTACGACAGGCTCCTTCCACCGTCGAGGAGGTCATCGAGACCAGGATAGCAGTGGTGGGAAATGTTGACGCCGGGAAAAGCTCCATGCTGGGCGTGCTGGTCAAAGGCGATCTTGACGATGGAAGGGGCAAGGCGCGAGTCAACCTGTTCCGGCACAAGCACGAAATCGAGACAGGGCGGACATCGTCTGTCGGCATGGAAATTATGGGGTTCGATACCAAGGGCGATGTTGTAGTGTCCGACACGCCAGGCCGCAAGCTATCGTGGGAGGAGATTGGAAAACGCAGCGCCAAAGTAATCACTTTTAGCGATCTGGCTGGTCATGAACGTTATCTTCGCACCACGGTCTTTGGACTGTTGTCTAGCAGCCCAAACTACTGCCTCCTGATGGTGGCAGCGAACAATGGGCTGATCGGCATGAGCAAAGAACATCTTGGCATTGCCCTTGCCCTGAACGTGCCCGTGATGGTTGTCATCACCAAGATAGACATCTGTCCGCCACAGATTCTGGAACAGACGGTCAACCAGATCACCAGGATACTAAAGAGCCCGGGGGCCCGGAAAATACCAATATTCATCAAGAACCGGGAAGAGTGCATCAACACGGCCACCCAGTTTGTGAGCCAGCGTATCTGCCCTATCTTCCAGGTCTCCAATGTAACGGGTGAGAACCTCGACCTGGTCCGATCCTTTCTTAACATTCTGCCACACCACGGCCGCTACGACGCCGAGGCTCCATTCGAGTTCCACGTCAATGACACCTTCAGTGTGCCGCACGTCGGAACGGTAGTGAGTGGTATCGTGAAGTCCGGCGTCATCCACGCAGGCGACGATGTACAAATAGGGCCGGACTCCCTGGGTCGGTTTACCCAGACATCTATCCGTTCGATCGAGAGGAAAAGAATTGGTGTCCCCATGGCATCCGCCGGCCAGTCCGCCTCATTTGCCCTTCGTAGAATACGACGCAAGGATGTGCGGAAAGGGATGGTTGTTCTCGCCAAGTTGGACGGCGCCCCCCCAAAAGTCTATCGCGAGTTTGTTGCTGAAGGTAAGCCACATATCCAACCCCCGCGGTACCTAGGAAGATGTCGGACTCTCGTGCTAAATCAGTCTAGTCCTCATCCTGTCACACGCCACGACGATCAAAACCAAGTACCAGGCCATGTTGCATGTCGGACCTGTTTCGCAAACTTGTGCCATCATTGACGTTGATCGGCCCTTTATACGAACTGGTGACCGAGCTACAGTCGCGTTTCGCTTTGTGCAACGGCCCGAGTATCTTGCGCCGGGAGATCGGTTACTTTTCCGCGAGGGGAGAACAAAAGGTCTGGGGATCGTCAAGAGTGTTGGGTATGATCCGTCTCAGCCTTTGATGGCCAAACAGGGAGACGAGGGTACTGCCCCCCTTCCACAAACAGCAACAGAGGAGAGTAAAGGAGCTGAGGTGATGGCCGACGCATGATCTGTCTGTTTGAAAGTCCCCTCGCCACTAGGGCTGTACATCAGCACCCTTGATTGTTTTGTTGAGAACAGATAGAATACCGGGGACGATGCAGCGAAATCGAGCATTTTCGGGAGCGCTGGAAGTTCGGGCAGGCCCCATGTGATGGGTGACTTTTCATCTTGGTTTTACATTTGTTTTTTTAAATATATTCGTGTCTTTTCTTCTTTTGCCTTTATAGTTGTCATTATTCTTCAGACGAAACGGTGGCTCGCACCAAGCCGCAATCTCTGAAGGTCCCTTTGACGACCCTTTTGGAAGGAGTACACTCCTCTGTTGTAGCTAACCAGTAATGGGCCTTCCCATACATTCCATTGCCAGACCCATGTGATCAGGTCTTGATTCGGATGGGCCAAAAGCAGCCAAGAGCGCGTTCTCGTTGACACCTCCAGCGAACAGTTCGGCGATGCAGTCCAGGGCTAAGGCTAAATCCTCATCTGTTCAGAAACCTGGGTCGGGTAGCATGGGCAATAATGGTACTGAGTGTAGCCTTGATCGTCAAATGCTTCATGGCTGGACGCGCTGAAGGCATGGATATTGCCACTTTCAGTGAATCCGTGACTGAGGGGAGATGAGCACAACGCTATCACCTGCATGGAATGTTAGCCGGGTTCCACAGACCTGATGAGATGGATCTAAAAAGTACTGACCTCTGACAAAAAGCATCTCGGATTTCCGGCTGATAGTCTGTATGCATCGAAGGGCACATTTTAGCCGCAGTTCTTGACATGGCATTGAACAGGTAGGTGGCCACCACTATGATGGACTTTTCACTGACCTTGACTTCTTCGTCGTTCTCCTCGTCTTCAACCACGTATATCGTCTCCTCCACATCCCCCAAGACGAGGTTACAATGGCTGTCGTAAGCCTACATAGTTAGGTTAGTCGCAGAAAAAGGCCAGGAGGTGCTGGGAAGTGCTGGCAGTGTTGAGAAAGGAAGGCAAGCTTACGTGGAGCCGACCTTTGAGCTCACGGTCTCCCCTCAGCTTCACAAACACAACCTCGTCGAGCAGCAGGCGGACGAGATCGAGGGGCTCCGAAACGGAAGGCGCCTCCTCTGCAACATCGGCCATTTTGAGGGGTTGTTTTTGGACCGAAGCTTAGTGTGCAAGGATCAAGAGAATGAAGTTGCCGTCGTTCTGTTGTTGTGGTGGTGGTTGTATATCGTTGTTTTGAACGTGGTTGTTTGTCGTCGTCAGTTAGCAGTTCAGACAGCAACTCATCCCAGCCTGGTTGGTGACTGCCGAGTGAGCGAGCGATGGGAGTGAGTTGAGTGGGTGCACGCTGGAGTCCGTTGCGATGGATCTGCCGGCTGACACCGCCTGCCATGCTGGGGTTCGTGAACCATGGTGGACAGGGGGGAGCCCTATAAGTGGGGCATTTGACAGGAGCTCTTTCGACATCCAAGTTGGGTTCTCATTTTCATGGGATTTCGACATACATTCTGCCCGAGAGTGGCAGTCTTGAGAAATCTGGGTCACGTAGCAAAGAAATTATGATATTATTACAAGTTCAACTACGCTGTATGTGCTTCCTTGGCTAGTCCAGGGACTGGCAAGCCATCACCTTATTTTCTCTTGATCTTTTCCAGCCGGAGATCATTGATGTACATGTACCTGCTCAGAATGATCCAGCCGTAACGGAACCACACCATCTGACTCTTGTGCGCCGTGGTCATGGCTTTCCACGCCGTTGTGAAGCTACCATGACCAGCCAAACCATTGAGAAACACGAGCCCACCGGGGTGCTTTTTATCCCTCTTGCCGGCACCAATTGCCCAGCTCAGTAGGGTGGGGAGGACGTCGAGAAAAGCAGAGTATTTGCGGGCTATTGGGACGGTTGTCAAAGTATAAAGATCGACGGGGGATGCCCATCCCGCCTTGCCAGCCACGAGGGCACCGACAAACTCTTTGGCGCCATGATACAGCGAGATATGGTTGGGATGGCTTGACACACCACCGGCGTCAAAGGTAATGAGCACATCTATGGAGGCTGTGGGGGGCGATGAGGCACCCTTTGACTTGTTCAGTTGAGGCGCAAAGGCAGAAACAAGGAGGTCCGAGATCTTGCCCGCATCCCAGGTCGTGGTCATGCTGTCGCGGAACTCGGGCTTCTCGACCACAAAAACATCACTGGTGGACCGCAAGCCGAGGACCACACCAGATTTGGCCAGCTCTTTCTTTCGGGTCTCCCCCAAGCCATCCGCATCACCTGTGTCAAGAAAAGAATATCAGTACTTGTGCGAGAACCAGGGGGCTCTGGCGAAGTACACACCACTACTCAAGCAGAGAATCTTGACATGGTTGCCAATTTCAGGCCGCGTAAGGGCGAGAACTGTGGGGGCAAAGAACATGGCCTCATCGTCCGGGTGCGCAATCAGAAGACAGATGCTCTTGTTCTCCAACTTTGGAAACCGCGTCGAGACCACAGAGGCGGTGTATATGTAAAGTGACGGGAGCACGACAGCCAGTACGGCGAAGATGGTGAGCAACTCCATCTCGATTTGCCCGAGCTCGACAGCGATATCGTCCCCAATCGTTCGTCTTGTCGAAAATCGGGCGCACAGTCAGGCAGGGGCCGAAAAGCGAAGCGGTTCAAAAAGGAGGCGGGTCGGAAATTTCTTGGGCCGTTACTGCAAGGGACAACCGGTCTGAGAGAAACAATGTTTTCGTGGAAGATGCATCAGGCGCCACTTTTTCGATTGGCAAGGTTCCCCTGGTCCTCATCAAGTTCAGTGGACCTGCGGATAGTGAAGCTCACATCACGTCGTTACCAAGCCCTGTCCCGGAAAAAGGAACCACAGAAGCCTTGTGTAGGTATGCCGTACTCAAAGTTGGAGAATAGAGAGCTATGGCTATGAAAAGACTCATCTCTGTTTGTACCGGCCAGAAGGGTTTGATGCATGCACAGGGAGCTGCCCCTCCATTCGCTCATGGTCCCCCACTACGGCGGCGCAGCGCAACAAGAGCTCCAGTGGAGCTGTCAGCCAAGCTTCTGGGAAGTGATTGCTATATTTAATTAATATGTATTAGCGCCGCGAAACACGCTCGCGCGTTCTTTGCTTCTCGTCTTTCTTCTCCCTGGACCTCGACGACAATGGCAAGACAACGGAAAGATCCCGTCACCAAGGTCAGACTCAGGCAACCTGACCGATCGGGCCCGAAGGAGAAGACGCTGCTGGAGATTGCCCAGGAGAGGAATCTCTTTGCCGAGGCCGAGAAGCGACAAAATGCGCTGAGGAAGAAAACCGGAAAGTCCGGGACTGTTGATGGGAACAGCAGCAGCGAGGATGACGAAGAGGACGACGAAGAGGATGAGGAGAAACGCTTGTCTCCGACCGCCGAGCGCATTCTCGAGACGATGCTCTGGGCTTCGTGTCTGTCAATGCTGCACTTTACACTCGATGTGCTGGTCCAGCACCAGTATTCGGCTGACCGTGTGGTATGGCCCACGGTCTGGACGAGGTTCTTCCAGGCTCTTCTTGGTATGTGTGCCATTTCTTTCTCTTGCCACCCGGATCGGCCGCGCTGACGCAGTTCACCATCCAGTCTTCGGATTACTGGTTTATACCCTCCACCCTCACCCATCGAAACCGACGCTCGTACCTGGCCTACCCTTGCGATATCAGTCGGTCCTGAGGCAGTCCTTCTTTTTCGTTTGCAGCATATGCGCCGGCTGCTACATGATTCATATTACGAATATGTTCGGGTATCTGGCAGTCATGAAGCAGGCGCCGTCTCTCGGGTGTCTCTGGGTGTGGTCCGTGATCGAACTCGAACTCCCCTGGGCTGTTCTCAGCCTTGTTGGAGCCGGGGGCTTTCTGTGGCTCAACGGCTATGACATCAAATGAACCTCAAGGGAGGCGCTCGTGTGTGGGGCTGGGGACCAGTTTGGGGTGGGCACTTGAGAGAAGGAGGGGGAAGGGGGTTCTTGCAGCTTCAAGGTGTGGTGGGATATCTAGGGCCAATCGTGTAGGTATGGACGCACGCATGTCACCCGAAGGTACCTCGTCCCGAAAATCACTTCCTGCTTCTCTCCCCGCCCGACTGGTGCCGCGCAACCTCCTGTCCACTCTGGTATCGGGTGGCTGGAGGGATGTGATGGTGCATGCGGCTTGGGCGTTTGGAAAACGTCCCTCGCGGCTGCGGTGCAAGCGCCACGTCGGTCACCGCACCGGACAGGGAAACTGGAACAGCATCACCACTCTTTCCGGAATGTCTCACGTTAGTTAGCGTTAGCTCGGGTGCGGCCGTTGAGCGGTATGTAGTTGAGCTGGCCAGTCAACAAGCCCGGCGCGACTTCTTTGTCAAAACCGCATGCAGTTGAAAAACATGCCATGAGACATTTCCCTTCCAGGCCCGATGGAAGGTCTATGTACCCAGGACCTGCCCTCTTCTCGACGGAAGCAACAATGGCAAAGACAATCAACACCATGCATCGGACTGCAGCCGGTGGCGTTTCTGCCCGCCAAGGAAACCTGCTGCCTCCGTCGCGCTTGCAGTCTCTTCCACTGACGATCGCGGTTCGAGGAAGAGTTTAAAGCTGGCCGGTCCTGCTCTGTCCACGCCATGGCCCGTCTGTCTGGCTGTCCCTCGACCTGCCTCACCAACGCTAACATTACTCAGACTCGACACTCTCAACACAGTTATATTTCAGCCTCATACCCACGCTTGTATTCTGCCGTTTTGCTCCTCGTCAGCCTTATCCGAGCATCGTTACGGACGCCGTCAAATATCCCTTCCCCTTGTTGGCCACCATGACGATGATGCGGCTATCCACGTTGCTCTCCCTCTCTGTCGGGCTGCTCCACTCGGGTGGGCAAGCCGCACCAGCCGACACCAGCAGACTGGCGCCCAGAGTACCTAACGGCGTGATCATTGAGCACTGCACTGTTCCCGGTACCGTGGCCCTCACGTTCGATGACGGTCCCTTCAGCTACACCGGCCATGTCCTGGACCTCTTGGACGCGTACGGTGCCAAGGCCACGTTCTTCGTCAACGGGGAGAACTGGTCTCACGGAATCGATGACCCCTCGACTACGTGGCCCAGCATCCTGAAACGCATGGTTGCCTCTGGTCATCAGATTGCATCTCACACTTGGTCTCATCAAGACCTGACGTACGCCAGCTGGGAGCAGCGAAGATACCAGATGCAGCAACTCGAGACATCCCTTCGAAAGGTGATTGGCAAGGTCCCAACTTACATGAGACCGCCTTACGCCAACTGTGGAGGCGATTGCCTCCCCGATATTGAGAGCTTGGGGTATCACGTGGTCAACTTCGACGTCGACACCAAGGACTACCTTCACAACTCGCCAGGTACCATCCAGGCAGCGATAGATACTTTCTCGTGGGCGGTAAACTCTGGCGGCCAGTCATCATACCTGGTGCTCAGCCATGATGTACATCAAACTACCGCTGAAATCCTCACTCCCGCCATGTTGGAAATTATTCAGGAGAACGGATTGAGGGCTGTCACGGTTGGCGAGTGTTTGGGTGACCCGGCAAGCAACTGGTACCGCTACTAGCGGGCGGATGACGATTGATGACGCTATGAGCCAGGATATCTCAATGAGCGACGGTCAAGATATGACGGGCAGGCGGCGGTAATGATGATGCTTATAACGGTTGTTTGGTCCTGGGCTCGGAACTTCTGAATCAGATACTGTTGGTGGAACATGGTCTGCACAAAAGGGAACTTACCCTCTGTTCCTGGTGATTGACCGAAGTTTGGGGGGCTGGCATTGCTCTTCTTTAATCATTTATCTATATCGCATAACTAATAGTCCTAGTCGCCTACGGATTGCTAATCCTACACTATAATATACTTTATATCGACATGTGTGCTGCATTTCCATTCATGGCTTTGATTTGGAACCATCCTAGAGGTTGTCAAGCAGATGTTTAATTTCCCTGGCCACAAATTCCGGGTCGTCCTTTTGTATAAAATGCCCGCATCCGCTGGCAACCTTCACTGTATTGGAATTTCCCGGGGTGTGGACAAGACGAAGGAGGCCATCATTATAACGTGACCACGTTGGGTTCATAAAAGTGTTGATAACTTGCTTCGGGACAGCCATGGTGCCCTAGCAGAATTGAGGTACAGTGTTGTCAGTAGGAGAGTTAAACCACAACGGATGATTGCTCGGCTCAGGAAGTGTTTACTCACTTTCTCGCACTGCTCAGCGAACTCATCCCAGTCATGACCGACGACGGTCAACAGCGGTGCCTTCTCGCTGGGCTTCTCATCTCCCGGCGCAGCTATAAGAGGGAGTGAGGGGCTGTCGGAAAAGGGCAACATCTCGGCCAGTTTTCTTCGGTCAAAATGTTCAGGGTTGGGAACCGTCGGGTGGAAAAATTTGCGAAACTGTGAACGCGTGTATCGCAATTCTTGCGGGGAGACGCCTTTTGGCAAGGAGCCTGGGTCGAAGCCAGTGTCGTCGGGATCTGGGAAGATGGAGACGAAATCTGTGTTGGCTATCATCGAATCCAGGAAGAGGTATGCCGATATCTGTGTTTGGTCTGCATGTGCGTGGGCGTAGAGGCGTGCCAGGGGGCAGCCAATGGAGTTGCAGACAAACACCAGACGGGTTGACTCCAGGTTTGGGAGGTGAGGTGACGAGCTGGTGAATTGTGTTAGGAGCTGGTGGAGATCGGAGACGATGTCATGAGCGTCATGGCTGTAGGGGATGGTATTGGGGTCATCGGTTGGGTCGTGGTCCGAGTCTCCTTGGCCATAACGATCATAGGTTAATATCGTTGGAGGGTGCTGATTGTTGTCGGAGAAACTGGAGAGAAGGTGAGATATGGCCGGCAACCAGGCCCTACGTGACAGAACCAGGCCATTAAGAAAGACTACCAGGACGTCTGAGAGGTTGCGACTGGTACTTGGTGGATGGGCGGAGAAGACAGATGCCCTGAGAGACGCACTTGGTTTGGTGGTGAGGGTGATGGTGATGTCTTCCATTGGGTAGCCACTAATTATGTGATGGGGTGATTAGAGGAAACCAGAATAAATAAGGTTTAGTGAAAATGGCAAAGCATTGGGTCTATTCTTCCGAGCTATGAATATAGTTAGATAAGAGCTTGATACCAGTTTGGGGGGTATGAGGAGATCTGAATGACGTTTCAGCGGGGTATCTAGAGTCTACAACCTCACTTTAGGCTGCACATAAAACTCGTATGGAGGTTTATCACACTGGAATACCGCGGGGCCTTGATGCCGTCAACCATGCCCTTAATATTGCCTCCCATCAGCTCAACAAAACAACAGCATGGATTGCGGAGGCAAAACAATGAACTGAATGCCAAGTATCCAGCCACGTCTTAGTCATTCAGTGGCCTCCGCATTCCTCCACTGCATCCTGCTCCATGAAAACCCATACCTATAATTACTACACACGTAGCCAAGCCCTAGCAGCCAATTACGTCTGGTTTGATTACCTCTCTTATCTACATCGACTTCAAACGTCGAGCTTTGCATCCTACCACCGCCATTTTCGCAGGGGGTTTCACCAACCTATCTATCTAACCTTGCCTATTGTCATTCAGTTCATCTATCACACAGTGACCATGAAAATTACAACAGTAGGAATCACCATCTTAAATGATCAGATCCTTTCTCTAACGACTTGTACACAGCTTTATGTCTATCCCATAAAGGCCCTTCGCGGCATCAAACTCAAATCAGCCCGAATCGGGCCCCAAGGCATTGCCCATGACCGGACTTTCATGCTCTTCCAGGTTTCTGAACCTGATGGGGAGCTCAAGAAAATGCAGGTCGATTCCCATCCACAATGCGCTCTTTTTGAACAAGAGTTCTCGGGTGGTAACATTTCGGTTCGATATCACGACCCAGAAAATCAAGACCAAGATGAGCAGCCGCTCGTGATCCCACTCATCGTCGACACTGCCACCCTCGCCAAAATAAACGTCAATCTTCATGGCAGCGCACCATCATCAGCCTACTCAATGGGATCACCCTATGAAGACTGGTTCACTGCCCGGTTTGGCTCTCCTATCAGACTGGTCTACATTGGAGATGGGAAGAGGGCTGTACTGGGTGATACCCTCCCTCCTAAGAAGCATCAACAAACCACTCAGAATGGCAAGGGCGGTTGGCTATCATCCCTAACGTCCTATGTCACCGGAAGGGGTCAGGAGGGGAAGCCATGGATTACCTTCACTGATGTCGCACCTTTACTTGTGACATCCGAGTCGTCCCTACATGATGTCAGCGCTCGGCTGCCTGCTGATCAACCCATGCCCATGTATAAGTTTCGTCCCAACATCGTGGTCGATGGGCAGGGTGAAGAAGCCTGGGCGGAGGACTTGTGGGCTGAATTGACCTTCAACAACAAGCACAAGCTGCTCCTCACCGGGAACTGCGTGCGATGCGTGAGCTTAAATGTTGATTATGAAACTGGCAAGCCCGCTGTGGGAGAGCTGGGGAGTGTTTTGAAGAAGTTGATGAAAGACAGACGAGTGGATACTGGGTCCAAGTGGTCGCCTGTTTTTGGCCGATATGCTTTCCCTGCTGTAATGCAAGACAGCCAGGGTGCGAGTTTCGAGCTGAGGGTTGGGGACGAAGTGGAGGTCACCAAGAGAAATGCGGAGCGAACTGTTTGGGATTGGCCTGGGCTATAACTTATAATTGGTGAGAGAGGCTTCTATATTTCAAGGTATAACTGCAATATATTCCCGGGGAAGCGATGGTGGTATAATGAACTATGAAATATGTGTAGCCATATTCAAGCCATCCTCGTTGTCGAAGCTTGACATATTCCGCCTGCGAAAGAAATACTGGGTGATGTGTCTTTGTTGAGGCACACCTCCGAGTCTCTCCCGACTGACACCATCATCTGTCCAGATAGAAGGCGTGGGTGACGAGATTTGCCTCGGCGGTGGCACTGATTCAAACCGTTGCTTGGAAATGGAGGGCGTGGGATACTCGATGGTGATGCCTGCCGGGCGAACCTCAGCGGCGACACGATCTATCCTGTCGTATGGATAGACTTCAGGCTTAGTGTTGTTGGATCCAGGGCTGAAGAATCCCACGTCGGGATTGAAGTCGACTTTTATGCTTTGCAGTGGTATCTTACGGGCAATCGCGGCAAGAGCAAGCCCTCGCAACCAATCCTCATCGGCTTGGTCAAAGTTGGAGATGCCTTCTGAGCATTGCTGGTCAACCCCAGCCCATTGCCAACAGAACTTTCGCAAACGCGGGGCTAGCAGCTTCAAGTAGGTAACAGAGCTCACCACGTTGTCCCTACTCCACGGGTCTGCGCCCACCCAATGCACCATAGTGTTCCAGCGTGAGAGAGAGAGGTCCTCCAGCAGGGGAAAGTCAGTCACGTCAAAGCTACCAAGCGCGCCTGTTAAGTAGGATATCTCGATTGAGCGAAGCGTTTCTTTGTGGTGGGAGAGCAGGACGTGCATAACAGTCAAGTCAAAGGCTCGATGCCTGCGAAGCCCGGTGTTGTGGAAACCAGTGCGGGAATGAAAAGTGCTCGAGCTCCCTGAAAACAAGTAGAAAGCGCTGTAGGTTGTCAGGGCTGTCTTCAAAGCAGCTGAGCGTAATGGAAGTGATGGCCGAGGAGCTCCGGTGGCTCTGGATGTGGGTCTGGTCAGCCTGATTTATATCTCTACAGGACAAAAAGAATACGAAGACGAGGTCTTGCCTTGAATACGCTTAAGGGGAACTGTGGGTATGTCGGCGAAACACTGTACAGTTCGAGGACTTTGAGACTGGGCATGTCGTTAATCATCTAGCAGACCGGCACAAGGCGGAGCGCATCCTCCAGGCTAAGATAAAACGACTCGAGGGCTGGCATCGCCATCGTAACTGTGCGGAGAATAGCCCAAAACTTGTCTGGATGCCGATTCAACACAGTGAAATGGAGTTGCGTCGTGTTCGGGCATGAGTTTACCAGAGCCATGGCGTTGTCGAGATTGAACCTGGTCGAAAAGACGCCATCATTTTCCTGAACTACCAACTGCAGTTTTCGGCAGTATTGGCCCAGTGTTGGATTGTTGCGAAGGCTGGAAACTAAGTGCTTGATTGCCCTGGGCTTCCTGATGTAGTCCTGAGACCAGACGCTGTTTCGCCCAAAGCTGATGCTGAGGGTTCGATAAAAGAACGGCGTTATGATACGCCTAAAACGGCGACACACTGCCAACAGGGCCACGGCATCTCGATATTATCAGCATGGTTTAGATGGCCACCACCAAACCGACCATGGTGGCGCAGTTCGTGAGTTGCCAACTCGAGGATCACCACCAGAAGCTCGTCTGGTAGACTGATAAGCCCTATGCTGAGCACTCCATTCTGAACAGATGTAGCGGGGGTTTGGGGGCCTGACAATGATGAGCTGACCAGCTTCAGATCGACCTAGAAGGGCATCGCGACCAGATCCACGTCCAGCAAGATATCGGCATGGAGCCGCCATTCTTGCTTGTCTGTTGCTCTTCCGTTCTTGGAGATGGTGTCCGAGTTGTTCTCAGAAGAAGCACGCTGAGAGAGAAGATATCATCAGTATTGCTGTTTGCTGCCTGTTCTGCCTGTTGTCAATGCGTGGTTGGGTCTGGTCTGGAAACAGGGAAGATTTACACGTTAGGTATTGGACATCACCAAAAGGGACACAGTGCAACGGACCCCTGTACCCCTGAGCCCTTTTCGCACTCAGTGGATCTGTGCGCGCAGTGGCGGGACCCCACATCGAATTGCCGTGGGGACAGCCCCCTAAAACGTGGTGAACAGAAGAGCGTTGCTTGAAGGCGAAACAGCTATCGACTGAACCTCTCTTTTACCTTGGCCAACACCAACACCATATATTTCACCATTTTGTCTCATCATCATGGCTGTTGAGCAAGTGGAAGAGCCGCTGTGTAAAGCAATCCGAACCTCGGACGACAAGCCATGCACGGTGCCAGCCATTGAGACTTCCAACGGCAACCTCTTTTGCAAACTCCACGCAAAACAATGCTATGGCTTATATCTGGGTTACCAAGAGACATACCAATGAGTTCATGACGCTTGCGGAAAAGAAATCCTCGTTTTTAAGGGATACCAAGGCCTCTCTCAACACCATGTCGTTTGAAGGCATCCAGTCTCTGGAAGAACTGACCCAGGTCTATGAGTACCTGTTTAACCAGTTCGTCCTGGTGGGGAAAGCCATCAGGGCCCGAGAACTGCACCACAAACATTTTTACTCCAGGACATGGACTACGGCCACAAGGCTTTTTTAGACAAGCTCGTCAACACTCGCTACTCGATCCAAAAGGCACTGGAGAACCTCGAAAAGCGCACCGCTGAGCTTTTGTACGAAAAGGAAAAGTGGTACAATTGGGTTCGGGATGCTCAGGATGACCAAGACAAGAACCGGGAGAAGGAGCAGAAGAAGAGGTTCAAACAGGAGCACGCCCTGTTTCAACGCCACAAGCGCGAGTTGGAGGCCCGCCTTGCTGCTGCCAGGGCCAAGGAAGAGGAACGGAGCCAGGCTGCGTATTTGGAAGAGATTTTGACCGAACGCATGGCTGCCTCTGCATCCGAGGATAGTGAAGACTCTTCGTGGGATCCTATCGAGAATGTAGTGGAGAACACCCGAGGACAGTACTTGGATCTCATACGCCATTTCCTGTGGATTGAGCCCCCTGTCGTGGAGAACAAAGAGGAGGAAGTACGCGTTCATCCCACTCCTGCGGGAGCTCCCGGTGTGGACGGCGGTGCGGAAGCCGCGATTGAGAAGGGGGGTGAGATGACAGCAGCCGAAAAGAAGAAGGCTAGGAAGCGGGCAAAGAAAAAGTCGTCAAAGACGGCAGCAGCAGCACAGAACCAGGAAGCTGGCAGTTCGGTCGCGACAGGAAAATCCCAGCCACAGCCAGACAAGAGCAAGATAGAGAGCAAAGAGGACGTGAGAAAGTGGCTCAAGGAGGGCGTTGAAAAAGACTACAGCCATATCAATGGACCAATGCTCATGGGCACCGCGCAAATCCCGGCCGAGCTGGCCAAAAGAACAGCCCCTGTCAAAGACGAGGATATTGTCAAACTCATTGCTGACATCACCGAGATTAAGGAGCTTCTGTTTTGTCGCCAGGTCATGTCACGCTCTGCGCTTCTCCCAGCTGCACTCAAAGCCAATAGTTTAAGGGAATTCCTCGCCGATCCTTCCATCTCCGACTCTGATCTCCTAGATCTCTGCATCCAGGTGGAACAGCCTAGTCTGCAAGCCCTTCGAGATGCCTGTGCCGATTTTGTGCGGGGGGATGAGCCAGACAAAGACGAAGATGACGAGGATGGTGAGGACGACAAGTACGGCTCAGTCGCAGAATATATTCGCCATCATTATCGCTATGGGGCTCTTGAAGACCTGTATCGCGAAGCCCTCAGCAGCATGTCCCGCAGAGTCCTTCGGGGCTCGGACAAACTCTTTGAAGACATTGCCGAGGACGAAAAACCCAAAGACAAGAAAATGAAGGTACAGATTTGGGGCTGAAGCTTTTGGAACCACGCCAGTCAGCACAGCATGGCTCGAAATGGCTAGTTACACTTCTCCATCATGACCAGGGACTGCGAGTTTCCAAAGGCCATTTAACTTTGCCGCAACTGAGATGAGTTCTTTGAGCTCAACTGTCTGGCCTTGTGGCAGTGTTTCCCTGCCAGCAAATGAACCGGATGGAGCGGAAACTTCCTCATCGAAGAGCTGACGCAACTTGTTCGTATCCCCGCAGCTACCTGCCGCCCCTTGCGCCCCAAACAATGCCTGCTAACCACCTAAACTCACATCGTAGGGATTCGTGTCATTCTTCATGGACCTGACAGCACAGCAGGAGACGACATACAACCAGTTTGGTACCACCCGTCGGAAAGCACTTCGAAAGCAAAGTCTTGTTGTGGAGGCGCGCAACTTCATATGTGCTCACATGAAACGCAACGATCCCATCAGTCGGCGATTCATTCAGTACGCCCTCATGCGTCCTGGCGAACATTTCATTCTTGTTCGAGATGGCAAGACTGGTCGCATTGGCGTCGCGCCTGAAGACTACAACCGCTGGATCGTCCGATCGAGGTCGGGAGTGGGCGTTAGGCCTGGCGAGGGCTATGGCCGTCATGGGAACGATGGATGGGACCTCGAGCTTGAGGTAGATGCCATGTCCTTTGAGCTTACTGGGATGCAGTGCCAGTGGAAGTTCAGCTTTTCCGCTAACCACGAGATTTATATCTGGGACTTCGCCCCAGGAAACAGCCTTGGCAAGATGTATAAGTACATCAAGGAGGTGAGTTCCCAGGCCCCTCGACACAGCCGACTTCCCCGATGCTAACCGTCTGCACAATGCTTGAGCAAGGCCCATCGTATCAGGGGTAACCGTGACAAGTACAAACACATGAAGCCCGTCATGGAGACCCTTACTCGCGAGCCAGACACCATGCGCGTTCGTCAGATTCAGCCTGGAGAAAATGTCAAGAGTTTGTACGATGAGCTTGCCGGACCTGATGCGCAGTTCTATGTTCGGACCAACCTGGGAAAGATGATCAGGACATGCCAGGACGTTCCACCTGGGTGCTCCCCGTACGAGTACTACAACGATACTGACGCTGCGGAAGATGCAATTCTCTTTGAGGAAGAACAGCTGGAAGGTGTGCAGAA